ATGCTAGAACCCCATCCCTGCCCAACCTGGGTGGGGGTGGAGAAGAGGGTTCTGAGAATTTGAGCTGTGGATTGGAGGTGGAACAGCTGTCAGGGGCACTGAAGGGGAGGTGACCGGAGTTCACCCTACAAGGAGGGGGGTTGGCACTGGAGGTCACTAGAAAGGACAACACAACTCCATTCTGGGGGTCAGGAGGATGAATCCATCCCTCAGAGGTGGGCAGGTGCTGGGTGGAAATGCTACTGCTTCCAGGTGCCCTTAATCCCCCCTGATTCCTCAGGGGCATCCGAGTCTCTGATAGGTTCTCATTCCCTTGCAGCAGGAGGACATCTCGGCCAAAGTGATGTGCCAGCTGTGCATCATCTGGCATTTGTGCCAGGTGCCTGAGGCACTGCAGGGGCTGTGCCTCTGAGGCCACCAGCAACTCCCGCTCCCTGCTGCAGGTACTGCTCTGGCTCCCTGTAAATGGAGAGCTAGTGGAAGGGGAAATGGAGCCCCCTGGCACTCACAAAAACTCTCTTCCCCCTCTGTGGAGCAGGGTCCTTCCCTCTGCCCCCCAAATTCCTTCATCTAGGGCAGGAGCTCTTTCCCTCACACCCATTTCCCTCCCCTGTTTCCTTGGTCTACCTCCATCCCATTCCTCCTGCTCCCAGGCAGAGCTCTCCCTGCCCCATATGGTGCAGAAGGGCCATTGTGTCAGGGCCACAGTCCTTAGCCCCACTGAAGCTCGGAAAGCTCCACTTTTGAGGAGGTGGGGTGGGACAGGCTCAGGCCTAGCTTCACCTCCTGCTCTTTATTCTCCCCTTGGCTTTTCTATGGGGTCTCTGGGTGTGAAATGAATAGGAGCCTCCTTCCCAGCTTCTCTTCCAGGCCCTGGGATCTGTCACAGCCTCCCAGACAGGCACAGGCTGCAGCTGAGCCACCTCCGGGAGCAGTGGGGACAGGTCACCTCGTCCCATCAAAGCAAGCAATTCTGGGCCTCCAAGAGGCTTAGATGGAAGACCCCACTCCCCCATGGAGGTAAGAGCCATTTTGTCCTTGGGGCACGTGGGTCTCTTGGGAGAGAAATGGGATCCCCGATGCATAGCCTGGCTGGGAGCTTCCCCGTCCCTGGCTCCTAGCTCTGGCACAGAGACGTCTCCATCACCCTGGTTTTGTTCCTAGGAAGGGGCTCCCCAGCAACGTCCTCTAACCTGGACTCCTGAGAGCATTTCCGGTAGAAGGCCCCAGCCCCTCGGGCATGAAGAGAGCATTAGGTAGTCTCATTCACGTGGCATCTCCGGTCTCCAGCTCCACTTCCCGCAGCAGGGCAAACGAACCCATCAGCTCCCAGAATCCCAACTCTTTGACCTCCTTCCGCTCAGCAGTGGGGTTTCTCCAGTCCCCTCACCACACCTGTCAGCCTCTGAATGATGAAAGGCCTGAATGTCAGTGTCACCAGAACAAGCAAGCTCCAGTTCCAGGCAGTGGGGCCTGTGGGTACTCAGCCCCTCTGGAAACCAGGTCTGAAATGGGGAGCAAGGACCCCAGCCCAGTAACAGTAGGAGTGGACAGAGCAGGCCTGTAACAGGGTGCTTTCCCCTGGGCTGCACAGCCTGGGGCTTAGCCTAGCTGATTACAGAATGAGCCCTAACTGAGAGGCATCATGTACCTCCCCCTAAAGAGCCAGCTCAGAGCAGCACGGAAAGCCTAGAGGGGAACTTGAGAAGAGAGGTAGGAAGTGCCCAGGGAAAACTGCAGCAAACAGAAAGGAGCAGACCTAGCTGTTGGGTACAGGGCCCTGGGCTGCTACCAGTGTCAGGGTGGGACTGGGTTCCCCTACTGGCTCCAAAGAAGGGGGAATACACGAACCCGGAGAGTGTTACCAAGCCCAGCAAGGGGGCTGCAGGCTGAGCAAGAGCCCCAGCGATGGCAGAAGGACTTTCTTTCTTTGCAAAGATCTTTTTGGACTTTTAGTGTGAGACAAGCTGGGCCCCAAAAGGGTGGACTAAAGGTGGTGACCTGGCCAGAGGGCTGAGTTACCAGGCAGAGAAACTGCCATGGTGCTGGAGCGACCATCGATGGGAACACTAGCCCAGCGAGAGAGCTGTGATGCCATGCCTGGCCGCCAGGCGGGCACGTAACGATGAGTAATTGGTTTACGATGGGCATAGTCAGGAGGATTGACTTCCCCTTGTGATCCGTGAGGGCTGATGGAAGTCTTGGTTGCTGAGGGAAGGTCTGTCCTCCCAAGCGGGAGTATCGAGGGACCGGTTTCCCTGACGGAAAAGGTTTTGGCATATGCAGTGGTAGTAGCAAAAAGGCTACAGAAGAAGCTAAAGGCTTCAGAACTGGCTCTGCAAACAGCTGTGAAGGAGAATGAGTGGCTGCAGGAAGAGCATTGGGATTCTGTAGCAGAGAAGGATGGCCTCTTAATTCTGGTGAGCGAGCTGGCAGTGGAGCTGGAGACACTGTGCGCGCAGGCTGTACACGCGCAGCCGGTGACAGTGATGAGATGACAAGGGATGAAGCTTGGACAAGAACAGAACTTGCCCCCCTTCTAAGGAGGAGGGTATATAACAGGGGGGCTTGGCCTGTGGGCTATACAGCCTGGAGCTAGGCCAAATGGATTACAGAGTGAGCTCCACCTGAGGAGAAAACCAGGGAAAACCACAGCAAAGGTACAGAAGCAGGCCTAGCTGTTCGGTACAGGGCCTTGAGGCAGAACCTAGAATCCAGGGTAGGACTGGTTCTCCCATGGCCTCTAAGGAAGGGGACGTACAAGGCCATAGAAAGGGCTACCAAGGCCAACAAGGGCAGGCCGAGCCAAAGTCAGGATTAGGAAGAGCCCCCAAAGGGACAGAAGACCTTGTTTCTCTTAAAGACATTTTTGGACTTTTAGTTTGGGATGAACGCCACCCAGGAAGGAGTGGACTAAAACACGTTCACCTGGCTGAAGGGCTGAGTTCCCGGCCAAAAAACTGCCAGAGTGCCCTAGTGACTATCGGCGAGGGTGCTAGCCCAGCAAGAAAGCTGACACGAGGCCTTCCCAGAAAGGGGCACCTATCGGTGAGTGAACTCTGTTACAAGCCTGCTTCCATTATGGAAACAGCCTAGTATTGGAGAGTGGTGGGGACGGCTTATGGGAGAGGATGGCTGGAGGGGTCATATAGGAGGGGCAGCAGGGTCCAGAGAGCAGGGAATGGGTTGTACTGCAGCCCTGCCACTGAGTGGTAACGTGATCCTGGCCAGGTCACTCTCCCACCTGGTGCCTCACTTTCTCTATCTTTGAAATGGGGATCGTCCTGACCCACATTAAGAAAGTGTTTGATCCTCTGCTCTTGCTTCCCAAATCCCTGCCCTCCTTGCCCCACACAGGCCTCTGCCCTGTTCCTCAAACTTCCATGCCCACGTTCAGTGCCTGTGTCGCTCCCCAACTGCAAGGTCGCGTGTACAGTCTCCTGCCAGCAAACTGAAGCCGCCCCTAGATCCAGAACAGGAATTTCAGTTCCTGTGCGCTGCCATGAATGGAGTATAGAGCATGGGCATGGGGAAGGCCAACACTCACATCCAGGTAGATCATCAACCTACTCCTCTGTCCCAGGAGCAGGAAGGCCTCTGGTTCTTGCTCTCTTTAGTAGCTGGAGCTGCTGAGTTGGGGTTGCAGTGGGCAAAGATGGGAACAGGCCATAGGATTCATCAAGTGTCAGGGGGAGACTCCCCCTCTGTGGGAGATTGTTGGCCCTCTGTGGGGAATCCCTTCCTGGCAGATGCTGTGCTTTGGTTCCTGGACTCTGCCAGGAAGCCCAGCTCCCATCCCTAGCAGCTTGGCTGTTCCCTATTCTGCTGTGCACCAGGCCCTCTGCAGAGAACTGCTCTGGGCAAGGTCTGCAGACACAGCTGTCATCCTGGCAGGTGTAGCCCCAGGTTCCATCACCCTGACCCATGGTCTCTCTCCGCTGATAGGCTCTGAAGAAGGCCTGCCCAGAGACATGGATGTCATGCTGAAGAGCTTGCTGACGGCAAACTCCAGCACATCTTGGAGGTGATCATTATGGGCAGGGGCAGGAGGAATTTTACTGTAGACTGGAAATGAGAGACTGGATGATCCACGTTTCCATTGTGTCCTGCTACCTGAGAGCCACTGGGCTACCCGTGGTCAGGGCAGTCAGTGCAGAGCCGTGTTGGGGCCCTTCCTCCTTCAGGGACAGAGGGAAGGTGCTAGTGCTCGACAACAGGGCTCTGCCTGGTTCTGTTGAGCGCTAACTCCAAGGCCCCAGGCAGGCTTGCGGAGTGAGAGCATCAGACCCCGTGAGGTCCAAGAGAAGGCCCTCAGAGAAAAGCACTGGCTCCTTTCTAGGAAGCTGCTGAGATTCTCAAGGAGGGATTCATCCCTTCTCTCCCATGGACACAGAGGATTGTAAGGAGCAGGGTGTTGTCCTTTGTCCAACAGAGACCTGTCCTAGGTCTCACCCACAAACCTGGGAACTTGACGGGGTCCTACCCCAGCACTTGTCCTGTACACACTCGTCTCCCCTCCCCTCTTGCCTATTTAGCTATGGCTCTATGAACATGAAACAAACAGGAACTTCTTCTCCATCTCTAAGCCAAACTGGTTTATCAAGTCTGACCCCTCAACACGTTTTAGGGGGCGTATTTCCAGTACACGTACAGAACTCATTATACCCCACTCAGACCTACATCACACAAGAATATTCATGACCAGAGTGTTGTCTGCTTTCCAAAAATAAGAATGGCCATAATGGGTCAGACCCAAGGTCCATCTAGCCCCTTATCCTGTCTTCCAACAGTGGCCAATGCCAGGTGCTCCAGAGGAAATGAACAGAACAGGTAATGATCAAGTGGTCCATCCCCAGTCACCCATTCCCAGCTTCTGTCAAGCAGAGGCTAGGGATAGCATTCTTACCCACCCTGGCCAAGGGCCATTGATGGACCTATCCTCTGTTCTCCCCCTGGGGTGACAGAACCCTGATTGTCACATCTGTCTTCCAGGCTCTATCCCAGTCTCTCACACAGATGTATCCTGTAACCAGCCCAGCTTAGGGCACAGTGGAGACAGGTGATCTCATCCTCTCAAACCAAGGAACGTGGGTCTCATTGAGGCTCAGATGGAAGGTCCCATGCATCTCCTGGAGGTAAGAACCATTCACTCTTCCTGCCACTTGGGGCTCTTACAACAAACTGGGGGCTCCTGCTAAATATCCTGGTTGGGAGATTTCCCTATCCCTGGATCCCAGCCCTGGTACCTATTTCTCATCATGACCTATTTCTCATCATGATATCCTCATTTTATTCTCAGAGGATGTGTCCAGGATCCTGGATAATGTTTTCTGCAGGAGGTTTGAGCAGGGAGAGATCACTCACTGTCACGACCCAGGGGTCTTCAACCCAGGTCTGTAGGGTTCATGGGAGCAGCCACACTCCAACCCTCCACCTGGAAGCCTGCTGAACATTGCTTACCTAGGACCCATGAAATTCAGCCCCAGTTTGAGGCTCCACTCCTGAGGTCCTATTGGAGGAGTCCCAGAGAAGCTAATCGGCCCCCTGGCCCTGCTTTAGGCAGCAGCAGGAACAGGAGGCTGACTGAATACCGGGGCTGCTCCCTGTTCTGGACCGGGTGCTGCCTGTTCCTGCTGATGATTCCCTGGCTTGATTTCCTGGCATCTGATTTGTGGTTGTGATCGCAAGATTGTCTTTTGCTTCTGATCTTCCAGTCTCCTGACCCAGCTGGCTCTCGACTCCTGTCATGTGAGTGTGGACTCTGGCTCTGACCAGTAGGTCTGGCTGCCCTTGACCCAGCCATGACATTGACTTTCATACAATTTCTCCAATGCCCTTTTTTTTGCTCTCCAGCAAGATACAGCAGTACCTTGGCTCCTAAAGTCTAGTTGCCTGCTATTCAAGGGCTGAGGAGCAGTGCTTGTATTTCCCCCACCCCAGCTGCTTTTCCTATGGGAGTCTCCCTAGAGCAGAGGAGAAATCTGCTCTTCTCTTAGGATCAGTCACAGCAGTAATTCCACCCACCCTGGGATCAGGGACCACTTTTGAAGCCCTTAGCATGTGGGGTAGGTGGGGGCAGAGGCTGAGGCTCCAGCAGTTTCCCCCGGAGGACACCACCCTGTCTTTCTATGGTCTGACTAGGGCTCACCATCCATCCTAGAACTGAACACCAGATGGGAGGTGATAGATTGTCCTTGGTGGGCCATGTTCTTGTGTGTGATGGAGCTGTGTGCCAGAGAGGACCAGGAGCAGATGCACCACACATGGCCAGGAATGGGCTAAACAGCCTGTAATGCTAGATGAGTACAACCATGGCCACATACAGACACCATGGGCATCCATGGGGACTGAATCTGGCCCTTTGCTACCAAGAGCACAACTCACTCCAACTTGAGTCATTATGGTAGTGACCCCTGACAGCCCCTCTGAGGGGGGTAAGTATTAGCTGGGGCACAGGGATGGAAAGTAATTGGCTGCGAGGTCAGACACAACATCACTGACAGAGGCAGGACTGAAGCACTGTGCTGATACCAGTCCAGCTCCAACCACTAGATTCCACCCACTTCCAAAGCCAGAGACCCCAGGAGCCCTGACTCTGACAGTTAGGCCTTAAATGACCAGACCAAATTCCCTCCCACTCAAGAAGCCATAGAAGGGAGCCATGTGTGGTGCATCATAGCTAATGATGAATACAGCGGGCTTTGTCGTGCGTGGTGAAGGGTTTAAAATGGGTCTCTTTACTATCACACTAAACTTTAAAATAGCTGGGTATGGTGAAAGGGCAGGTCTATAAAGGTAAGAGATCACTCTTGAAGTCTGAGATTCTGTTGCTATTGCATGCTTCTACCAGCTGATCTCAACCCAACAAATCCCTCAGCTGGTAACTGAGCTCTTGTCCTCTTTTTCTGGACCAGCCACCAGAAATACATACATGTACAATATATGTGGCCAAGGAAATACAGAGGCATGGGGGTCACTTGCAGAGTTGCCTGTTAATGCGACCCTTGTGGGGGAGCACGGCAGGGTACTGTGCACTAGGCAGGAGACACGTCTCCAAGCCTGCACATCCTGAGGATCCAGAGACCTCTCTCCAGATCCCAGAGTCCTAAGGAGCCAGATGGAATCTGGCCTCTCTCCCCTCACCTCAGCAGTCCAGAAGAAGCTGTTTGCAGACATGTCACGTGTTCTCTCCTGCCACACTCACCTGTTGGTGACTAATGCAGTCACAGAGTCCAGTCTGGGTGTCCTGTATTCCTCTGGGCTGTGGGAAGCAGGAGGACTTAAGCTGCAATGGAGCCTCCTGTGCATGGGCTGAGTGGGCAACCTCTCTATTGCCCTATCTGGCTTCCAGCAGCCGGGGGCTGAGGAGGAGGTGAAGGACTTACCACAACACACTGCCTCTTCCTATGCAGCAGCTCTAACATCACCGGTCCCTGTACCCACTCCAGCTCCTCACAGAGCAGCAGCCCAGCAGTGCATGCCCAGATCACTGGCTGTAGCATATCGCCCCGGCTTAAGTCGCTTTGTAGCGCTAACCTTAATTCCAAGTAGCTTGTAAAATATTGCGAAGAGTTAGTGGGTGCTGGACACTTGATGAGCTCAAACGCAATCCGGTGATTTCAGTTTGGGCTGGACCAGTACAATGTTTTGAGCCTCAGGCATGTGCCAAACAATGTTGTAAGAACTAGGAAACTTCACTCCAGACCTCTTCTTGGGAATCCCTTGACCAAATAACTCCAATGTTGCACCATTAACTCTGCCTTGAACCGAGATGAGCTACAGCAATTTTCTAGATAATCTGTGTCAGCTTGCAGATTTTAGAGCACTAAGGAAACTTAGCTATTAATAAGCTCATCTCAGCTTTAGCCACAGTGCTTTTGCTGCCCGATTGTAATGGCACTGAACTGGGCCTTAGGTGATGGATCCCTTGGCCACCTCAGCTGGGCTGTACGACCAGTTCAGTGCTGTCCAAGGCAGGCTGCCGCCTTGTCAGCCTGCAACACTTCCCATTGGAGGAATGCACCAGCCAGAGGAGTGAAGAGCGTAGTAGGGATGTGCTTGCAGTGACCAGTCCCTCCGAAGGCCCAGCAGGAATCTGCCCATGACCGCATGGTTGAAAGACTGTATCTTTCCTCATAACCCTATGGACGGACTAGTTTAATTGGCTCTGATGAGGGGTTGGTGAGTACAAATCCATCACACTCATCACAGATCATGCAGCGGAGGGCAGAGTGGGGCCTCTCCTCCTTCCAGCTTAGTGCCATCTCCTGGCTGAGTTGGCATGAGAGATGCAACATTATTAATTATTATTATTATTATTGGAGACACGGTGGGTGAGGTAATATCTTTTCCTGGGCCAACTTCTGTTGGTGGAAGAGACAAGCTTTTGAGCTTACACAGAGCTCTTCTTCATATTATTATTTATTATTATTATAATCTGTATTATCATGCAGAGCTCTGAGTCATGGACCAAGGCCCCATGTGCTGCACAAACACAGCACCAAAACCAGCCCTGCCCCAAGGAGCTGAAATCAAAGTGCCCTGAGACTGGATCACTGTTGGTACATAAGTATACAGAGGGCTCCAAGACATGGCTCCTCCGAAGAGCTTGTGTAACACACACACACCTCCTCAGTGTGGTGTTCTGTCCCATCTAGTGGCACTACGACCACTTAGAGAGAGAGAGATTAATGAGTTTGCTCTACGACCTTACCTAACAGCCAGATGCCTTTTACTTATGCAGTAGAGGCTCCTGCATCTAGCTCCAGAGGTCCCAGGTTCAATCCCGCCCGCTGATGACCGGGGTCTGTCAGTGTTACACTTGGACTCCAAATGCCTAGCTCCCTCCTTGCTTTCTCAACCACAGCTCCACTCTGAGCAAAGTCTCCATTGCGCCATCTGTCATGGTGATGCCCAGCGCCCTTCCCTGAGCTGATGCAGGGAAGTGCACAAGCAGTTCAAACTCTTCCCACCTTGGCAGGGCTCAGCTAAACCCCCAAAGCTCTCCTCTCCAGGCCTGCGAGGACTGGGGTAGCTGGCAGGCTCAGAGGATGGGGTCTTTTGTCCTTACAAGGCAGCCACAGGGAGGTGGAGAGCAGACACAAGCCGTGTGCACTCAGGAGGCCACCCTGCTGCAAAGGGAGGACAAGAGTAGGGGCAGGAATGGGAACAGCTGAGCAACTGATCCCTGCAGCTGGGGTCCCTCTCAGGCCAGTGGCATTTACAAAGCACCAGGTGCGTCCATGTGTTCTTGATGTGCTGGGCAGCCCTGCCAGCCCATTATGGCTTTCAGAGACCATGTCGGGGGGAGGGGGAGGCCGGTCAATGGCAACATAGCTGCCTTTGTAGCCGTGCTCCCATTGCTATGGGAATCAGCCGAGGAGGCAGCACTCCAGGAGAGTTTGAGGTGGAGGTGGAATGCACTGCTATGGGGGAAGGTGTGAACTCATCGCACTCTGGCTAGGCTGGTGTGAGCTCGGGCAACACTTCTAGTCTGGGGTAAGAGAACCCTTGTGCAGTTTAGCTTGTGTCACTTTGGAAACAGTTTAAGCTAAGCTGGAAAAAGCCTCTCTTATTTCACATGGAGAGTGTCCATACAGGGAGTTCTAGGGCACAGTACACGTGGGGCAGTGACAGTACAGATATCCCAGTATGCAGCCCAGTTGCAGGCCCCAATCCTGCTGCTCCTATGCAAATTGGTGGCAACCTCCCGCATGGTGTAGAACCAGCTTGTTTGACTCCAGTATTGTCCTCTCAGCTTGGTGCGTCCCAAGGAGCCAACAAATGGGCTTGGGGACAGATTGCTCCTGGGGATGCCAGGTAATCAAATGACAAGCAGCAGCTCATCCCAGACTGTCAGCTCCAGGCGTCACCTGTCTGTGAGCTGCATTTGCAGGAGATAAAGCAGCAGCCTGCTTAGTTGCACAGCTGTGGAATCCTCCCCTCCAGAGCCAGCGTGGGCGGCAGGACCAGCTGATAACGTCTCACGCTCAGTCCAGCTCAGCTCTTTCAAAACGCAATAAACAAACTTGGAATCCACAATCCTGAGTTCACAAAGCAGCGCTTCACGCTGGGCAGAGCTCTGGGAGCGCTGTTCAAAGTGCCTGGCGGATTAAAAACCCCTCAGTGCTCAGACCAGAGCCTTTACTTCGAAACGTAAGATAAGGAGGAAACTCAAAACATGCCTGTGGGCTGGTGGCTGTATTTGATCCATGTTAAAATTATTTTGCTCATTTTGATCAGCCTTAAGCTGTGGGAAAAGCGGTGAAGGGCGTCGCATGCCTGTGGTGAGAGTTATCTTGATGAAGCCTGCACTTTGCAAGATTATATGTAATGAAACCAAAATGAAATTCCTTCTTTTATCTGAAGTTTGCAAAGAAGCATGTCTGGGCGTGCGGTACCTGGGCACCTGTTCCTCATTAAAGAGGGCCGGACGTCTGTGGCCTGCAAAGAGCAGAAAGCATATCCAAGACCTGCAGGCAGGGCAAGCAGGGTCTGACCCCAGCCTCTGTTCTCGTCTAACATGCACGCCGATACCTGGGCTCAGTAGGCTTCCCTGAGTCTGGCGCCAGAGCTGAGAAAATGCCTTTTATACCCTGCCAAGACATGGCCAGCCAAAGCTCGCTTTTTTTTTTTTTTTTTTTAAGAGACAGGCTTCTTTTTGGTGGGTGTTTGAAAGCTGCTGTTTAAAGCACTAGAAAAAGGTGGGAGGATTTAGTTAAATGTTTTTTGAACGTGTCCTCCTTTTATTTGAGTCTGTGAATTGATAAGTTGATATCATGGTTGCCCTACATTATGTGGTTCTCACAGTTCAGGGAGAAGATGGCACAGAGTCACGCTGCAACTGTTACTCGACTGCAAAATGAGATCTGAGCAGGAACAGCCCACGCCAGTTATTGGAGCAGACGTTACACATCTCAAGTACTGCCAGGTGAAAGGGCATTGATTAAGACCAGCTTCTTGCCAGGCCGAGTGCTCTGGTAATGAGCATGGGCTTGCTCTGAGGATTCTGCAGTAACGACCACAGTGACAATTGTTAATGCAACACCATTAACCTGGGCCATGGAACTGCAAAGAACTCCTGAGAATCGCTGCCTTCATTTGGAATATTTCTCATCCGAAGCTCTGGCTGGCGAGGGATGCCTCACAGCCCCACATGCTCTTCGAACACTACTGATATGCAAATTTCAAAGGCTGTCCTGAAGGCATTGACTTCAACCAGCACTGGCCCTCTGTGGTTGCCATGAGAGACACAATTCTTCTCTGGTGCTGAAAAGCCCCAGGAATTAGGAATTTCAAAATAAGATTGAAACTGCAGGCAAGGACCTTATGGTTCAGGCCCCAGCCTGACACTTACAAGATCTGGCTTTAGTTCCATGCTCGGCCAGACTCCCTGAGTGACCTGGGACAAGGCTTTTAATCTTCCTGTGCCCCGCTTTCCTAGCTGTGAAATAGACCCTATACAGTATCTTGCTTTCTCTCATGCTTTGTCTACTTAGAATTGAAGTTCTTCAGGACAAAGTCTGTTAGACCCAGGCAAACACTTTCCCATTGAAAAATGGGGTTTTGTTGGGGGAAAAAAAATTCACAGAAAATTCGTTTTCAATTAAAATATTCAGGTTTTTGCTGAAAACTTGAAAAATCATCAATCACCTTTGCATCCTCCGTGCCTGTGAGTGGGTGGGTGCAGATACCTGTTCTGTGGGCAGCTGTGCCAGCCGCAGCTTGTGGCCTCCTTTAAGAGGAAGCACCCATTTATACCCCAGTGTATTTCTCTGGTTCCCCTCCTCAGAGGAAACAGCCGATTCTGCATGCAGAGGCAGAGATTTTCAGCCATTGAAGGGATTTAGAGACAAAGACTTTAGCAGAATTGGAACATCCAGCCTCCATAAGCAGCTTTGGAAATCTCAGCCAAAGGCAGGAGGCAAACTCACCCATAGGTGGTGCCGTTGGTACTGAAGTGTGAGGCATAAATATGGAAATTTCCGAGAAAGGAATTCTGGGAGGTACTTTCATGTCTCCATGGCCCATTCCAAACACCATGTATTGCTTATCACATCTCTCCATAGCACTAATGGGTAGGGTACTGGAGGAGTTTTGCATCAGTTTAAACCAAATAACTGAAACTAGCTCACTCACCATAATAGAATTTTAATATTAAACTCAGCTGTTACTGGCCTAGTGTTACCCAGCTTCTCACTGCTTCTACAATGAGTACAGGAACATAGGTAGCCATGTATTTAAATATAAGTGGGGCTGTGGTGCTGCTTGGGTAATCGATGGCCTGTCGTTATATTATTGCACCCAGTAAATTATGCATTAAATCAAGTTGTTTGAGCAAATAAGCTCTAATATGCCTGTTGCGTACATAATTTCTAGTAAGCATTAGTCATTGACATTAATGCTAAGTCCACAGGGTTGTCGAGACTAAGGGCTGTTCCGGGACATGCCCATTAATGTCAAGGGGTGGCTCTGCTTTCACTCAGAGCAGAGTTTAGCCTGTACGTGCTGCCCCACCCGATTTTCATAGATTCACAGATTCCAAGGCCAGAAGGGACCATTTTGATAATTTATTCTGACCTCCTGCATAACACAGGCCACAGAACTGCCCCAAAATAATTCCCAGAGCAGATCTTGTAGAAAAACATCCAATCTTGATTTAAAAGTTGCCACTGATGGAGAATCCACCATGGCTCTTGCTAAATTGTTCTAATTACTCTCACAGTTAAAAATTTGTGCCTTATTTCCAGTCTGAATTTGTCTAACTTCAACCTCCAGCCATGGGATTGTGTTTGACCTTTCTCTGGTAAGAAGAGCCCCTTCCCAATGTAGACAAATATAAACTGTAATCAGGTTACCTCTTAACCTTCTCTTTGTAGAGCTCTTTGAGTCAACCACTATAAGGCATGTTTTCTAACCCTTTAATCATTCTCGGGGCTCTTCTCTAACCCTCCCCAATTTATCAACATCCTTCTTGAATTGTGGGCACCGAACTGGACACCGTATTCCAGCAGTGGTCACACCTGTGTCAAATACAGAGGTAAGAATCACCTCTCTACTCTTACTCAAGATTCCTGTTAATGCATCCCAGAATCCCATTAGCCCTTTTGTCCACAGCATCACACTGAGAGCTCATGATCAGCTGATTCCACACCATGATCCCCAAATCTTTTTCAGAATCACTGCTTCCTAGGACAGAGTCTCCCATCCTGTAAATATGGCCTACTGTGCCACAGTATATAAACCCCACACTGAGCAAACAGGAGTTAACCAATCACTTTTAGCCAAAGAGGCCATACCCCCTTGCCCCTGCTATGCATGCTCCCCATGAGGGGAACAGATAAAAGGCAACTGGTCATTTCAGTCTGGGGTGGCTGAGGAGGAGGAAGGACATGTGTTGTGGGCTCCTGCAGAAGAACCGCTGACTCTTCAGACCACCAAGGCTATGGACCCAGACTCCACTGTGGAGAACCAGCCAACTTGCAATCAGTAGCAGTCTAGTCACTATGGAAAGCTCTGGAGAGCTGTTGGGAGAGTCCAAGTGGTTCTCGTTGGTGGCACGTGAGCTGGACTGGCTGTTCACTTGCCCTGTATGTCAAGCCACCTCAAGACCTTTCACCTAAAGCCAGCCAGAAAGCTAGGATGCTTTTCATGAACTGCAGTTATGATTTCCCTTTCCACTTCTGTACTGTGGACACACCCACACTGCTGTGACTCTGGCATATGCATTCTCTCCCATCTGAAAAGTGATATGTCAAACTTCCCCCATGCATGTTTTAATTCCCAGATGCTATGGGCCAAATCCCCAGCTGACCTAAGAAGATGTAGCTCCAAATTTTCTAAAAAAATTCAGCCTGGGGCAGATGTCTGGCATGGAAAATTTCAGTCCCACAGCTAAAGTTTGGCAAAGATATACACAACTGAAAACACGTGCTGATAATGGGACATGTTGGGTAACCTCGCTAATAGGCAGCACTACCAGCCTCGCCTATAATTATATCAAAATAAAAACTATGTAAAAATAACATTGACTTTGCAAAGTCAACCGCTCCAAAAATTAGTAAATGCCAGAATTAAAGTTACTTGTGCTACCTTAATTCCACCCCCTGTGCATTGTGATATAATGTTTAATGACATGATCATATATGGGTTTTTTTTTTTTTACAGACCCCCCTGCCTCATTCAATGCACAGGATGGAAGTTGCATGGAAGCTGGGGTGAAACATTTCTAATTCATCAGGCCCAGGTAACTTGCACCCAAAAGTCCTAAAAGAGTTGGCTGATGAGAGCTCTGGCCCGCTGATGTTCATTTTCAATAAATCTTGGGATCCTGGGGAAATTCCAGAGGACTGGAGGAGGTACTTGTGATGGGTTCGGTCACAGAGACCCCCTGGGGACCGTCACCTGACGTGCTGGAATCACCTCTGAGATGGTTTTCCCTGCCAGCTTGGAACTCCAGAACCTTTTCTTGTTGAGCCAGACATGCTAACCTGCTGCAACACAGACCCGGGTCTGGTCCATGCCCCCAAAGCTGTAGACTTTAACCAAAAACTGCTCAGCAGATCACCTATCTCCAGCACGCAGACACTCAGTTCCCAATGGGATCCAAACCCCAGATAAATCCATTTTACTCTGTATAAAGCTTACACAGGGTAAACTCATAAATTGTTCACCCTCTATATCACTGACTGAGAGAGATGCTCAGCTGTTTGCTCCCCTGGGTATTAATCACTTACTCTGGGTTCGTTCATAAACAAACATGATTTTATTAAGAATAAAAAGTAGGATTTAAGTGGTTTCAAGTAATAACAGACAGAACAAAGTAAGTCACCAAGCAAAACAAAGCAAAAACACACAAGCCTAAGTCTAATACATTAAGAAACTGTTTACAGGTAAAATCTCACCCTCAGATGTTCCAATAAGCTTCTTTCACAGACTAGACTCCTTCCTAATCTAGGCCCAATCCTTTCCCCTGGTACAGTCTTTGTTAGTTCCAGCAGACATCTTAGGTGGAAAGCAGGGGTGTTCTCATGACTGGAAGCCCCCTTTGTCCTGTTCCACCCCCTTTTATAGCTTTGGCACAAGGCGGGAGTCTTTTGTCTCTCTAGGTCCCCACCCCTCCCTTCTAAATGGAAAAGTACCAGATTTAAGATGGATTCCAGTATCCTGTGACATGGTCACATGTCCTGTGAGACCTTATCTTTCATTACCCATGGGCTGGCCAGCACATACACAGGAAGGCTTGCAGGTAAATAAACACATTCACAACCAATTGTTCTAGTCAATGGGAGCCATCAAGATTCTAAGCCACCATTAATTGCCCACACTTTGCATAATTACAATAGGACCTCAGAGTTATACTTCATATTTCTAGCTTCAGATACAAGAATGATACAAATAGAATACATGCATGCAAATAGGATGAACACACTCAGTAGATTATAAGCTTTATAATGTGTGGCAAATTGCCAGAACCACTATAATGGGTCTCGCGCTTTCTCTTCTTGGATGGGGGTTCAGGGCACTGTTTCTTGCCCCTGAACTGGGGTATTAACTGCCCCACTAGTGTCCTAGAGGAGGGGAGTGGAGAGGGAGGGACCCGGCCCCACCCTCTACTCTGGATCCCAGCCCAGGGGACCTAGGGATAGCAGTTCCTTCCCCTGGGCTACTTCCCTCTCCTGCCCTTCAGCTTGTGGGGCTTCCTGCCCTCCCTCTGCACAAACTAGGTGTCCCTTTACCTAGGGTCTTGGTCATCTTAGCCCACCGCAGCACTTCTCCAAACTCTCCTCTGCTTCCCTCCAAACTGCTCTCTGCTCCAACACCAATCCACTCTGCTTCAATTCCTCCTCCTGTCTGATTGAAGCAGGGGGCTTTTATCATGTGACTGGCTTCAAGTGCTTTAATTAATTTATAGCAAACTTTCTTCCCTCTACAGAGAATAAGGCTCCCTTCTAACACTCTCCTGCTGCCCTCTGGCCATGCTGTATCACAAATGATACCTTACAAGAGACCTTTTGCATAAAGCATATTCCAGTTACATCATATTCACGTTCGTATTTCCATAAACCACATGGAGTGCAACGTCACAATGCTAATGTTGTGCCAATACTCCAAAAGGGCAAGTGAGATGGCCCAGGCAACAGCCTGGAATATGATGACACCCAGACATCTGTTTGCCCTCTAAAAAACAGATGTTATGAGGTTGGTGAAACCTTGCTTGGTGTTGAGTTAAAACCTTGTTCAAGCTGATGTGTGAATGTGCCCTTCACTTAAGATAGCGCTAAGAAACATTTAAGGGGCCACACCTAAAACAGGATCTCATAGAACAGAGGTTCTCAAACTTTTTTTGTTGACCCCTTTTCAATGCAATGTTAATCATGGACCACCAACTGAGAAACTGATTGACAAAAGTGTGTACTTCATATAAACACGTACTGTTAGTAAAATGCTTTAAGAAAAAGAGTAGAATGGTACTTACAAATATCAGTGCGATGGGTGGGCCTGCTTCTTACAGCAGAGTCTATCTATCCTTTGTGTGATGGTTGACAAGCAAACTCGTAAATCACTCTCCACTTCCAGTCGAGACCTGAACTTTGTCTTCATAGCTGGCATGGCAGAGAATGATGCTTAACATATATATGTTTTTGGGAAAGGTAGCCACACTTATCATTGCTTCTGTAACTAAAACTGGGTACTCTGTAGCAATAGTTGGCCAAAACTGACAAGGTCTCTGGTCCTGAAACTTAATTTTCAGTGTGCGGGCACAGGTAGTTCGAGCAGCTCCTGTTCTGCTTTTCCACTCAAATGGCGAGATGCCACAGCAGAAGTTGAGAACAGATCCTGGAACCAATCATATTCCTCCATGTTGATATTTGTAAAGTAAACCATGAAGTGCTCGGTCAAAGGTGAGCAACGATCCCGTCTCTCTCACAGTCAATTTTCATGCTGTTCATATCCAGAAATTCTGTCCATAGTGGAAACAGATCTGAGGTTCCACTGCTCAGCCTAGTTTTCCAAATCTCTACTTTCTTCTGAAATGCTGCACTCTTGTCATTCACCTACAGTATGGTTGTACTGCTGCCTTGTGTGGACAGGTTCAGCGCATTCAACAAGTTAAAAATGTCTGTGAGATATCCGGTCAGAAAAGTGTGTGGTGATCTTGGGATTGTGCACAGAAAGAAAACTCAGCAGCTTTTTGAAAAGCTCAAAAACTCTTTCCAACACGCTGTTGTGAGATAGCTAATGCACTTCCATATGAAACAATAATTTGTCATGTCTTGCCCCCATTTCTAAACACAGCCTTGCAAAAAGGTGGGAATTCAAAGGCCAGGACTTTACAACATTCACGATTAGCACATCATGTAATTTGTGTTCCATTCTCTTTGATGCAAGGGCTTGGTGACACAGCGTACAGTGTGTTACCACGTTGGTTTATGGTTCATATTCTTGCTCCACCACCCATCCTATTGCCTGTCATAGTGACAGTACCGTCCATGCAAACAGCAACACACTTCTCCCAATTCAGAGATTCAGCTTTCATGAACTCATCCAATAATCTGAATATTTCCTAATCTGGTGTCTGTTCTGGTAACTCCTAACAAAGAAAATCTTCCAAAATTCCCCCGCAGCCAAACATAATGAACAAAAACTAACAACTGTGCTGCGTTACCGACATCACTTGTCTCAGCAAGCTGAACTGCAAACTGTTCACACGTACGCTAGTAGGAGAATTGAAGAGCTTTCAAATTATGTAAAATGGCAACAAATTGTGTCTTTAGAAAGTGGTATGGCCTTAAGTTTCTTCACTGCCATCTTCCCTTACCATCACTTCACACATTTCTATAGCAGCTGGAAGAATCAGTTCTTCTCCAGTGGTGTGGGATTTTTTACTTTTTGCAAGCTGAAGATATTGTTTGTCATTTGAGTTTTCTGTTGATTGTATTCTTTCTTTCACTGAAAAAAGTCTCTGGATTTATCTTTATACTCCAGGTGGCTTTGTTGTAAAGTGTCGTTTCAACTTTGCAGGTTAGATTGCTTCATTTGATAGGATTTGTAAGCATACAAAGCATTGTGGTTGTCCATTACTAAATCCCATAAAACCAAAATCAATATAACTTTCATCAAACTTTCTGATCTTCATTTGTTTCTCATGGTTTGACTCTGCATTGTCCATGGCTTCAGCACAACTAGCAGTACTAGTATGAGGACATTTTAAAAACATATCCATTTTCGATATAATTTGCTCACACACTGTAAAAATATATTCCATTTCCATCTGCCAAAGACAGTCATCAAAAAAGCGTATATCACTTCTGATTTGTCACAAAGCAGTGAGGTTTTTTTTAAATTCATGCTTATGCAATGTGAGTATTATGGCGTTGTTCATGCATCATGGAATATGTTGTATAAACAGAAATAGTAATTTTGTCAGCTTTAATTGTGAGACAATGAAATGTGCAGTGAGATTTCTAAAAAATTTCTTTTGTAATATTTTGCAGACCCTTTGTGCAATTTCGAAGGACCCCCTGAAGTCTGCAGACCCTAGTTTGAGAACTGCTGTCATGAATCGGTCCAGAATTTAGCATCATGTGGGTGAGGAGGTTCCACTGAGTATTATGACCAGGTGGGCGTGGGCGAGAACACACAGAAACTGGAAACAGACAAGAACAGAAAGAGAGAGAGACAGAGGCAAAAAAAAGCAAGAAGGCACCTGTAACCAGAGTGTGATCCTGGAAAAAGCTAGAGAGAGAGTTTTGTGTTGGCTGGACTATAAACTAAGACACTGCTCCCTTTGTTCTGGGTGATGTCTGCATTCAGAGAAGCAGGACTTTGTGCATTCCTTGTAAATCAACAAGAATGCATCAAACAAAACAACAGAGTCCATCAATTTCTATTTCCAACTGGAACATCACCAGGGCTCAGAAATTTGTCTAGCCACTTGGGTTGACAAAAGGCAACCCAGTTCCAAACAGTTTCCTTCCTCCCAGGGCTGCTGTGGGGTTAACGAGCAAACATTTCCTAAGCACCCACAAACAGAAGGCACCAATGTTACATTCCTTACTGTAGTGTGCGTGTAGTAAAACCAAGGCACAGACATGGGAACGTGAGTGCGGTGAGGGTCTGGGCTTGCTCCAGCTGACATCAATGGCAAAGTTCCTTTAAATACCGGTGATGCCGGATCTGTCCCCATGGGGGTGACCAGGCTGTGAAAGATAAGCAGCTTGGCTTTTTAGAGGGTAAATGGTCCTGATCCTGGAGAGTCTTGGGTTTGCTAGCCAACACCCCATTCTCTCACTTGTTACTGGTACTTAAAGTCCAGGCTAGCCTTTGATGTAGCCAGTGCTGGCTGCAGCAATTACTGCATTTACTGTGTGAGTGGCAACCCCTGTTGGATTTTCCACGCCACTAACCTTCCATTTTTGATGATTCACTAGGGACTCCAGCCAAGACCTTTGTATGGAGGCCCAAAGAATGAGCACCACGGACCTTGCTGGGCGGAACACAATTCTCTTCCCCAACCTAGAACCAGATCCTGGGACCCCCTATGTTGCTGCTCTGTGGGCTGTCATGGCAGCTGCTGCCCCATGCTTTCGCTGCTAAAAAGTATTGGCTATGGGATTACCATCAGTGTAATCTGTTGGACATGGCCCTGCCTTCTCTGTGCACTGTCAGAGGCAGACCTTCTGTGGGTTACACAACTCCTGGGGCTCGTGGTCCTCAACAGCCCAGGGGAAGGTCAACCTAGATCTGAGCAAAAACTGGAGTTTCTGTCTTGCAAGAAATTCTGGTATTTCCACATTTGGTTGGTTGGGTACAGAGCAAAAGACACAACACTTTCCCTTCTAGGTCACTGGCTGCTAGTCAGCTCAGGTCAGTAAAGAGTGCAAGCCACTGTAGGATGACTGTATAAGTTGGTGGGGGGCGATGCTCTATCAGAAAGCTGGCTCCAGCACTAACAAACTAGCCTTGACAAAGTCCTCATTCATTTCTCTTCATTTAGTTGACTCTATTCCAAGCTGTGAGTGAACCAGAGGAACAGATAAAAGCACTGTGATCACAAATGGTTTATTTCTCATGTTAGCACGCATGGTTTCATGTGGTTTTTCGGTGACATACAGACACCTGATGAAAGCAGCCTCTTTAAATACAATGATTAACTTCAAAATACATCCTTATCTGTGACTCCTTGTATAATTTATTTGAACCATCACAAAGGCTATTAACTTCCCTCCCCTTCATTGGTATTTACTGGGTTTTTAACTCAAAACAGGCAAAGCTCAAAGTCCAATAGGAGTGTTGTAATCTACATGACTTAGAGCATATGCATGTTGAGTAAATTTTATACTATCCAAAAATGCCATAAAACTTTTATAGCAGGAAGGGTCAAGCTAGATACACAGATTTTTATTTCATGCTGTAATTTCTTGTTCAAGAAAGACTTGAAACCACAAGACATTTGACCCTTCCAAATTAGGCTTCTCCAGATCTGATCGGGGGAAACTAGATGCAATAAGACTTGCTGCTCCATGAGGAGGATTCAGGGACCTGAGCGTGGTTTTAAAGACACTTGCTTTTGTAAATAGCAAGAGAAGGTGGAACAAAAGGCTTAGGTTTAAGGGCACTTTTAGCAATACGCTTTTAACTGACAGAAAGAAAAGCATCTGCAGAAGCTAATATTAAAGCAGACAAACCTGCAGAAAGGAGTCTACAGATTGACCGAAAAGCAATCTGATCTTACAACAGCATGAGCTCTGTCTGTCTTTATTTAGTTATAAAGACACTCTTGTCTTGAACTAGACAAAACAAGAGAAGACGTCTGATAGGAGCCCAAATCGCTATTGCCTTGACCCTTGCATATCAAAATGAAAAGTTGAACCCTTGAAAATTTACATGAGTCAGAAATCCAAACAAATTTTCAGTTGGGGGGAATCAATCAAAAGGTTTTGTGCAGATAATTTTGAAAGGTTCCATTCAGCTTTTTTTAGTCTAAATTTACTAAAATGTCATTTTTGACTCAAAACATTGAAACCTGCCATTTCAAAAATGTTGAACCAGGACGACTTGACAATTTCAACATTTTTTTTCCCCAAAAAAACTTTTTCAAGGCAGGAGATTCAGCAAAAGTCACCCTCTTTTTGGAACAGTTTCATTTTTGATGAATCAGCATTTTCCAGGTGAAAAAACAGTTTGTCACAAAATTCCCCACCAGCTTTAAAATACACTTTGTTTACCTCTGTGTCCCACACCATTGGTCTCCGTGGCACTTTGCAGGGCACTTTTTAGGTACAATCCTGCACCGGGCAGATGCCAGTGTAAGAACTTGATCCTGTAAACACTAATGTTGATGTGTCACCCTGGGTGCAGTGGGATTGTCTCTGTGCGTGACCAAAGCAACAGTGCTGGCAGGTTTGGAGCCTCAGACAGACAAATGGAGGGGATCACTGACATCAGGTGATAAGGGGCGAGAGAGGTAAGTCTTGCAAGGTGCCAGGCTATTATAGGGTGCCACATACCACAGAGCAGCTCCCTTCTCCCACTGTTTTGTCTGGTGGAAGAAATGTATAAGTGGCTGGCTAGGGTCGGGTTAGTCATAGCAACAGGACGTCTCCCTCTTCACGGTCTGTGACTGAAGATGAGGCCCAGTTCTGCCGTCAGTGGAGCAGGCCCAGCGAGTGCCATGTGGCAGGGATCAGCGAGGTGGGGAAGGAGAATTCTGCATGGTTTTATTCTTTCTCTCCTCTGGACACAGATCAGCCCTGACCCTGCCTACACCTGGTTGATTGATCAGGGACAGTTTTGGGCATGTTGGTGCCAGTTCAGGGCAGCATTTCCACACTCGTTGGGGGCACAGGTGAGAGCTAATAAACTGCCAGAGAGTGATTTCTATGGAGTGCCTAAGACCTTTCCCATTGCTTTATTAAGCCCAGGATTACAGGCCTGAACTGCCAGAGCTTACCCCTGCCTTTAATTCAAGTAATTAGGATCAGGGTGTAGGAAATGCTTCAGTTCTAGCTGGTGGCTTCTCCCTGGGTCCTTGAGATAAGTGCGTTGGCCATGTGTATAACTGCACAGGGGCGGTTTATCATCCTAAGAGCACATCACTAAAACACCAGCCAGAGAGTATGAAAAGCAGGATGCTAAGTGCAGTCAAAGGGGTGCCACGCCCAGGCTGCCCCTGCAGAACCAGCCCAAGAGGCCACCCTCTTTGTTCACTGTGCGGTCAGCGGGCAGCTGCTCTCCCTGGAGATTCCCTGAGGGCACAGTTATACTGACAGGGACCTGTCAGACGGGCAAGAGGGATTGGGGTGGAGGTGCTCTGCACAGCACCACTCCTCTGCAGTGCCTGACCTTTGCAGCCAGATGGGGGTGTGGGACAGCCAAGGGGCTAGGGCAGATGACCAGAGGACACTATGTGGCCTGCACTGCAGCAGGAGGTCTGGTGCTAATCCTGCCTAGGGAGGTGGTGGAATCTCCTTCCTTAGAAGTTTTTAAGGTCAGGCTTGACAAACCCTGGCTGGGATGATTGAATTGGGGATTGGTCCTGCTTTGAGCAGGGGGTTGGACTAGATGACCTCCTGAGGTCCCTTCCAACCCTGATAGTCTATGATTCTATGATTCTAATCCCAGCTCTGCCATTGACCTGCTGGATGAACTTGAGGCAACCATTTCCTCTCACCTTAGTCTGAATGTGAGCTCTTTGGGGAAGGACACGCCTCAAGGCATGCTGCATGGGTGCTGTGTCTGGCCCAATGGGGCCCTCAGCTCATCCAAAGCCTTTAAGTGCTCATGAAAATGAAAATAGTAAAGAACCACAGAGCAGCTCCCTGGGAGTACAGGAGACAGGTGGGATTCTGGGATGGGTAGATGGCCTCTGTGATGACTGGTGTCCCTTTGCACACCCACGCCTGTATGTAGGCTGAACAAGGAGGAGGTGAGTTAAGCTAGCACCAAATGAATCATGTCATTTCACCAGCTTTTCACACTTTCTAGCAGAGCTGGTCAAAAATGGCAATTATTGTCCAGCAAAAATGCCAGTGCCACTTCAATTTTATTTGACATTTTTCATGGATTTTTCATTTCAATAACATGGTTTCTTTGGCTTATAGTTACTAAATGAGAAGTGGCATTAGACTGGAGTTGACTCATAGTCAAATGTTTCCAGTTTTGGGCTTTATGTGGGGCTGTTCTCTGCTTTCTCGCTCTCCTTTGTCACTACCAAAAAAAGAGCTTTTTTCTTTTTGAATCAAATCAAATTGCACAGAGAGTGTTTTTAAAAAATGGAATGAAATTAAAATGAACATTTTCCTTTTGACAAAAAAAATCAGAAAGTTGCAAATGCTCCTGATGTTTTTTGGCAAACGTTGATATTGTTCGACAAGTTGTTTTCTGTCAAAAGTCTTTTCAACCCAAACAATTTGACCAGCTGATGTAGGCTACACTTGAAGGCATTCAGTTGTGATTACGTGCAGTGATTAGCACTGTGATTGTTATGACTATAAACACTAGACGGGGCTAGGTCAATATGTCACATTATTCTTATGTAGTGCTATTATGACCTCAAAGGTAACTTAACCAAACATAACCCTTCCATTCTGGCTAATTTGCAAGCTGAAATTCTATTGGTTGAAATGAGTCAATGGTGTGCAGGGGACTCTCTGCGTGACCACTCTCTGTTCCTTTTGGTGTATGACATGGCCCCAGCTGTCACTGCTCTCCGGGGTCCATGGCCGCATGCTGCTCCTGCAAACGGATGCTGCCCCATTGCTTTCTGTGTAATTTATCCAGGAGCTGCCGCTAGCCAGAGCGCTCCCTGAAAATCCACTGTGTGCAGTAGGCAGTAATACACTTGAGAGCTTGTTTCACATCTGAGCACCTATTTTCAGTGTCTTAAATTACAGTGTCAGTGTCATTTCATTGTAGCCAGAAGGAACAAGTCAACATATGGTATTCCAGCCAGCTGACTTTCCAGGGACCTCACCACACCCTGTGAGCTAATGCTTGGTGTTTACTTTGTCTCTCTGTGTTGCTAAACAGAAGTGGCGGAATGCTGCTCTCCCCGTGAATGCCTGACCTATTCCCAAGCAAGGACGCTAGGCTAGCCTCACTTGTTAAACTCCTCTTCTGACAAATCGTTTTGGAGCTGGGCCTGACAAGCTGCCTGGGCTGTAAGTACTGCTGGATTGGTTCCCAAAGCCTTCTGGTGTAAATGGGAAACAGTGGCAGACATGCACACCAATCACTGCCTTTTACTTTATAAAGGATGGCTCCAGATCGTCTGCAGCTATCAGGGCTGACTTCCCAATATCAAAGCCATATGGGAATAGGAAACCGCTGGCAGCTGCTGTTTGCTCTCTGGCCTGCCACCTAGGGGACACAGGCTAACCTGCAGCAACAGCTCCTACCCGCAGGGTCTCCGGTTTCTCTGCTCTCGCTCCTCTTGGCCTAGGAATGTTTTCTACCAACAGAGAATGGGAATGAATAATTCAAAGAGAGAAATGCAGCCAGCATGATACAAACAGCCTTGTAGGTTTGCTCTGCATTTGGAAAGCAGTGAACTCCAACCTCCAAGGGAATGATTCCCAACAGCTGTCCCCTTCCTCAGTGTCCAGGGGCTTGCATTTTACCAGGGTGGGGAGTATCTAGTGGCCAGTCTCTCAGACATGTCTTGCTGCTGGGGATCACCTCCCCACGTCCTCAGAGGAACTAGGCAGCTGGGGTGAGTTTGGCAGCTGTGTACATCCCTCATCTCAGACGTCACACTATAGCTGGCTGGGAATTTTTTGACAAAACTTCTATCAGTTGGAAATGACTGAGTCATTGAAACCAAAACTCTCTGCAGGAAAAGGTCGCTATTGATACATGTCCCTGTCAAAAACAATTAGATAAAAACAAGCTTTGAAATTGCTGAAATTTCCCAAACGGGTTCTGTTTTTTGTTTTGAAACAAATTTTCCCTTTGGAAACGTACGTTCTTAGTAAAAAAGAAAAGTAAAAATGAAGGTCAAAACTGAAACAAAATGTTTTTAAATGATCGAAATGAAACGTTTTAATTGACCTAATGTGATTTTTTATTTTGATTTTTATTTATTTATTTATTTTTGGATGGTCAGTTCATACTTTTCTCCCCACTTTGGGCAATTTGGGAATCACTTTCAAAATTTTAACAGTCT